GGGTTGCAGAAACATGGGTTGCTATTAGAGATGAATTTCAATGTCTGTCTCTGCCGAGTGTTTATTAATAATCTTGCTAATCCCCACTCTAGTTCCCGGATCTAACTCCTGTCAGATGTCCTTGGGGACATTTTAAATTCTCCCTGACTTCTTGGAGCCAGATGCTTCCTTCTGCCTGGGTTCCTCTCTGATACTTATATTCATGAATATTTCACATTTAATCTCCCTGATTACATTTCCATGTGATGATCATAGTGCATTGGCTGCATCTCTCAGGAAAGACATACAGGAAGCCCACAAAAAAAGGCTTGAGTTTGCAGGCACAGTGCCCGAGATCTTTGTTCTTGCCACTCAGATGGCCTTCCATCATGGACAGTGACTGGGAGATGCTGCCTGGTGGGCTTTGCATGTGGCCTCTTGGTCTAGGGCTTTGCACCCTGGCTCATGACCAAAGGGACTGGCATTTTCACTCAGGGATCAAATGGCACCAGGACCCGCCCAGTGTCCTGAAGGACCACATGTGGGTCCTTGTGACCAGAGTTGCTCAATAGCTTCCCAGCCCCCAGACAGGCCCCATCCTTCCTGCAGTGTTATCATTGCTGCCAAGTACCTCCAGTCTGAGAGAAGAAATTGATGAACTTATCTGTACCGGGGAGGAAAAAATTAGCCCCAAATGCCCAAGGGCTTATGCTTTAAAAGTCAGCCCAGGGAAATGACAGTGAGGCTTAACACTCTCATGGGATGGATGGGGTGGAGGGTTATGGAGAAGATGCATGATTGGAAGGCTATAGATTTAGAAGTCATCAGTGTAAACATGTTAATCCAAGCTGTAGGAGATATCAGGGTTCCCCAGAGAGATAGGAGGAGGATTGAGGTCAGGACTCTGCAGAGGAAGCAAAGGACTGTGGGATGAGATAGAAATTAGTGTCCTGAAAGCCAGTGAAGGAAACTACTTCCAAATAGATGTGGGATGTGTGACATGTGACAAATGCTACAGAGAAAGTAATGTGACTAGGAAATTGTAAAGGTGCCAATGCTTCCCTGGTAGGGTCCCACAGGCACCTTTGAGAAGCCTCCTCAGGTTGCTTTGGGAGTGAGCCCTCCCTGTGGCCTGAAGGGACAGCCAGAGCCCAAACTGTCAGGTCTCCATGTTTCCTACTGGTAGCCCCTGCCAGGATGTTTTGGCTGCAGAGAGGCATGTAAGGGCCACTAGAGCCTGCTTCTCCAAGGCTTAGGGAACAGGTGCTGTCAGTAAGAAGCCTCCCAAGGAGGAGCTGAGCCAGGGAGGCAAAGGATAAGGATTGGAAAGGTTTGTGGCCTGGGAAGTTGCTTGAGATGCAGCCACTGCGGCACACAACCTTTCCAGCACAGAGCCTCCTGCCGGGTCCACCTCAACCACAGCTAAGGGTTGGGGGTCAGAGCAGAGGACAGAAGCCCAGGTTCTGACCTCAGGAACTTGCGAACACAGCCCATGCAGGGCCTTGTGCTCTAGGTGTCTTTAAGGAACACAGATAAGGTCAGGATTTCCCTCCCAAATATTCTAGACTTGTCCCTTTCCCCTTGGTGACAAGCATGTTTTCGTTCCCACTGCCTCATTCTAAAGGGAACAAAAGCTACCATAATGAGTATACTAGGTGTACCGGTTAATAATGCGGATTTTTTCAATAGGTGGAGTTACCCATATGTTGATATATATATGCGATTTGACATGTATGCTATTTTGTTGTATTGACAACAAGCTTCAAAACTTCATATGTCAAATTTTCTGATATTTTTATACCTAAAAATGTCGAATTTCGTGTCAAAAAGCATTTGCGGGAAGTTTTAATTCATTATTTTGAAGAAAAGTGCTGCTGAAAGTTATCGTATACTTCGGGAAGCTTATGGTGAACATGCTCCATCTCAAGATACTTGTGAACGCTGGTTTAAATGCTTTAGCCCTAACCGGTTTGGCTCAGTGAATAGAGCAGTGATGGCGAACCTTTTGAGCTTGGCGTGTCAGCATTTTGAAAAACCCTAACTTAACTCTGGTGCCGTGTCACATATAGAAATTTTTTGATATTTGCAACCATAGTAAAACAAAGATGTATATTTTTGATATTTATTTTATATATTTAAATGCCATTTAACAAAGAAAAATCAACCAAAAAAATGAGTTTGCGTGTCACCTCTGACACACGTGTCATAGGTTCGCCATCACTGGAATAGAGCGTTGGCCTGCGGACTGAAAGGTCTCAGGTTCGATTCTGCTCAAGGGCATGTACCTTGGTTGCGGGCACATCCCCAGTAGAGTGTGTGCAGGAGGCAACTGATCGATGTTTCTCTCTCATCAATGTTTCTAACTCTCTATCCCTCTCCCTTCCTCTCTGTACAAAAAAAAAAGTCAATAATATATATATTTTTAAATAAATAAATAAATAAATGCTTTAAAAGTGATGATTTCTATGTTAAAGACAAAGAATGTCCAGGTCAACCGAAAAAGTTTGAAGACCAACAATTACAAGCATTATTGGATGAAGATGCGTATCAAACTCAAAAACAACTTGCAGAAAGATTAAACATTGCTCAGCAAACTATTTCCGATCGTTTACAAGCAATGGGAAAGATTTTAAAGGAAGGAAATGGGTGCCACATCGACTGAATGAAACACAAATGAAAAACCGAAAAGTCATCAGTAAAATGTTGCTTCAACGGCACGAAAGGAAGTCTTTTTTGCATCAAATTGTGACTGGCGATGAAAAGTGGATTTATTTTGAGAATCCCAAATGCACAAAATCATGGGTTGATCCAGGTCATCCATCAACATCGACTGTGAGGCCAAATAGCTTCAGAAAGAAGACAATGCTCTGCGTTTGGTGGGATCAGGAAGGTGTGGTATTATGAGCTTCTAAAACCAGGAGAAACCGTTAATACTGATCGCTACTGACAACAAATAATCAATTTGAACCATACTTTGATCATGAAACAACCAGAATGGGCCAGAACACACGGCAAAGTAATTTTGCTTCATGATGACACACCATTACACACTTCAAAACCAGTTAAAGACACATTAAAAGATCTTGCCTGGGAAGTATTAACCCACCCTCTGTATTCACCAGACCTTGCTCCTTCAAATTACCACTTGGTCCCATCGATGGCACACATATTTTCTGAACAACACTTCAAAACGTATGAAGAAATGGAAAATTGGGTCTCTGAATGGTCTGCCTCAAAACAAGAAAAGATCTATTGGAACGGTATTCACACTTGGAGTGCGGGAAACGAGTTAAGTCGGCTCGCGTGAATTGCGCGTACTCCGCGGGAGCCGTCTTTAACTCGGTTCATATAGATTTGCGGTGGAGTGCGGGAAACGTGTAAACTCGGGCCGATTGTAACTGCGTATTACCAAATATTTGTTTGTAATCCACCCTTTTGGTGGATGGAACAAAACCAAAAGACAGAGCCATCTTATATTTTGGCGGGAAATTCACCCGCACTCCAAGTGTTCACAAATTACCTGAAAGATGGGGGAAATGTGTAGCTAGCGGAGGGACATTACTTTGAATAAAGCACTTTTGATGTTTCTCTTGAAATTATCATGTTTTCTTTGATTACAAATTCCACATTTTTAACCGGTAAAGGGTCAATCCGCATTTTTAACCGGTACTTATGATGTTAACACCTTCAGAAAATTTGACATATGAAGTTTTGAAGCTTGTTGTCAATACAACAAAATAGCATACATATAAAATCGCATATATATCAACATATGTGTAACTCCAGCTATTGAAAAAAATCCGCATTATTGGTACACCCGTAGCCACTCAGATCTCTGGGCCTGACACTGTGGGGCCAGTCCTGCAGCATTCTACCTGCCTCTCTGTCTGCTCTCTACATCCCCAGAGACAGAACAGGCACAGTCTTGGATCCACTCTGCAGTCCTCAGACTCTGTAGTTCTAGGCCAGTGATGGTGAACCTATGACACGCGTGTCAGAGGGGACACATGAACTCATTTTTTTTGGTTGATTTTTCTTTGTTAAATGGCATTTAAATATATAAAATAAATATCAAAAATATACATCTTTGTTTTACTATGGTTGCAAACATCAAAAAATTTCTATATGTGACACGGCACCAGAGTTAAGTTAGGGTTTTTCAAAATGCTGGCACGCCGAGCTTGAAAGGTTCGCCATCACTGGTCTAGGCAGATGCCTTGGATGGCAGTATCAATAGGTCATCAGTGTCTCATGGAGAATGTGAATGACCTTCCAACTGACTGAGGCAGGGTTGGCCAGGGCCCTGGATCCTGTAGCAGAGGTTTGTGGTGTTTTCGAGGGAAGAGTGAGGCTAGATTAATGAGCAAGCAGCACCGGACTAACTCACCACCAGCTGATTTGTCAGTATTTGTCTTCTCACCTACCATACACAGCCAACCTTTCAGGCTTTCGAGAAGACGTTCTTTAGGACTCATCTGTGAAACAGAGAAGTCCTCGTGAGAACTCTTTTTTGTATGGCCTGGTTGGCCAGTCAGTTCTCTGGATCCTGTGAAGGGACATGTCTAGTGCTAGAGGAAATGCAGGCGGGGGTTGGGGGGGGGTGAAGGCTTGTCTTAGGGAGCAGCTACTCTGACCTTAATGCAGACTTAAACTCACAGGAACCTAGAAAGACCTTTCCAAACAAGTACACGGGAAGGGCCCTGGGGAGCAAGCAACTAGTATGGGAGGTTGGAGAAGATCCTGTGGGCTTCAAGAATTGCGGGGGGCCTTCTACAGGAGGCCAGATGACCCAGGACTTAGAAGATAGACATCCAGGTGAGTGTCAGTGAAGCCGGGATCCTTGGCTCTTCTACCCAGTTCAGGATCTTCCTCTCAAGGTGGACGGGTCTGCCTCTCCCTCCCTGAATCTCCTGCCTGCTGTCAGGGGCGGATGCTCTCAGAGGTCCGGGGGTCAGGTGGGAGCAGCAGCCTCCTGTGTTCACTTCCTTAAACTTCCTGTCTCTCTGCTTTCTCCCTGCCAGGACCCAGCCGCCGCCTCCATCTCAGACGGAGACTGTGATGCCCGGGAGGGTGAGTCAGTAGCCATGAATTACAAACCATCCCCGCTCCAAGTAAAGCTGGGTGAGTGGGTCTGGGGGGTGAGAGAGATGCGGGGAATGGACCAGGTGCTCTGGGCTGGGTCTGCAACATGGTGCCACAAATTAAACCACCTAGGGCCAGATGGTTCCAAGACTCAAGCCACCAAGTCACTGTCACTGCCAGGTACCTTATTTCTTGCAAGGCAAAGAGGGACGTTACAGTGCTCTGCAGGACCCAAAACTCTAGGAGGCGTCTCTGAGGCCAAGATGGCTCCAGTTATTCCAGGGGAGAGGGGCAGGGATAAAGGCATGGCAGTCCCATTCAACGCTGAACCGGGCTGCGAAGCTGCCTTCGAGGTGGGGAGCCGTTGCTATGTCTGAGGGTTAGAAAGAATGAGGATTCCAAAGCCTAGAAGCTGAGCCCCTCTCCCCATTCCATCCTCAGCCCATCCGGACATCTCAGGGCCTCGTGGGCTCCAGTTTCGGGGAGCTTTTTCTTAGTGTTTTTTAGTAAACTCAAATATCTCTCCCCCTTTCCAGGGTCACCTTTCCCTTGGGGTTTTTCTCATGTCCATTCTGAAGTCAGTTGACGCCACAGCCTGCTCTTTGAAGTCACTTGGCTCCCAGCCACTGCCCATAGCCCCAGCAGCTGCTGTTCTCACTTCACCCCAGGCCGAACACTGCCCTGTCTCTTCAGGGACCAAGGCTGCTTCATATAATAGGCTTTTATTAAAAATTTGGTTTGTGAAGAGAAATTACAACACAGTTCATCCAGGAGAGTTTACGATTACATACAGGTAATCACTAGCCTTCAAAACTCCTCTGCCGTCCCTTTCTCCTCGGGCTCCAGCTGCCCACTGAGTAGTGGACCCTCAGCAGTCCTAAGAGCCTAAACCTTCTCCCACTGCAGCGGCCAGGACTCCCTTTTCACAGAGTTCTGTTCTTTTATTTTTTTGAAAAAAAGTTGTTGTTGTTGTTTTACCTTGCTTTTCTCCTTTCAGATCACAGCTAGAGAACCCCTCAGGCTGTTTTTCTAAACAAGAGAGCAGTTCTCTCAGTGGCATTTGTTCCTCTTCCAAAGATATCAGACTCAAAGTACAGCGAGTTTTGTATATTATTGTTTAATTTAACAATACAAGTGTTCTAACAAGTATAACTTCTTTTATTCTCCCTATCACATCTTCTCCCAAGATAATCATTCCAAGTTTTTGTTTTTGACTTTTTAAATATATATATATACTTTTATTGATTTCAGAGAGGAAGGGAGAGGGAAAGAAACATGAATGATGAAAGAAAATCACGCCCCCCACTGGGGATGGAATATGCTCTGACTGGGAATCCAACCATGACGTCCTGGTTCATAGGTCGATGCCTAACCACTGAGCCACACCCGTCAGGCTGTCTTTTACTCTTTGTTGTATTTAACATAAGTGGTAACACACTGTACACATTTTCTGAAACTTCTTTTGTTTTTGTTTTCCACTTAATGTCTTGGAACTTCTTCCAATGCCAGTATATAGAGAATGATTTCATTCTTTTAAGTAGTTGCACAGTAGACTGTAGTTTGGTTTTGCCAGTTTATTCTTTGCATTTTTTCACTTTCAAACATGCTTTTAAAATGACAATTTTTTCCTTTTCCGTTACATTACCACCGAACTTCTCATTAAAATTCAAAACCTTGCCCAGTAGCACTAAAGGGAAAAATCACCACCACCACCACCAGGAATTTGAAGGCAAATTGCACCCCCTAGAGGCTTGGAGTGGTAATGGTAGCTGCTGCCTGCTGAAAAGAGGCTGGGGAAAAACTGAAGGAGCCAGATGAGCAGTGGCAAAGTAAAGAGGGTCAGCCACCTGGAGATGAGAGAGTCGGAGAGAGGGCAGCCAGAGGAAAGTCCAGAGTCACGGTTGCCGGAAATGCCCACCCATCCTTCCTCTCCGGAGCTGTGGTTATTTTATGAGTACTTTCCCCTAGCATTCCTCTCCACCCAACAGTCCCTTTCCCCACATCTAAGCTCTACTTGAGATGAGTAGGAAGGGTAGACAGGCCTTTACCAGGAACCAGACCGGCAGATTACTGGTTCCTGGTAACAGTGCCACACACCAGACAGTAGGTCACCTGGTGGCCAGCCCCACGAATCTGGTGGGCTCTGGAGCCTCAGAGAACTCCGGAGGCTAGCAGAGAGTCGGAAGTATAGCCAGAGGGGCTCCCCCAGCCTCTGGCCCCTGACCCTGCCGGCCCCATTCTGCCTCTCCTACTCCATAACCCTTGGTGGCTCCTTTTCCTCCCACATTAATCCCAAACCCCTCTATCTGGCATTCAAGGTCATGCCCTGAGTTTGTCATCAGAGGGAGTCCCTAGCCCCTTAGCACAGGTCCTGGGATTGGTGACATAGATGTTGTTAATAAACAAATGACTGAATAAATGTATCTTACTTTTTCAACCTGTCCTCCATCTTCACCCTCCATTCCATCCAGATCCACACTTTCTATGCTCACTTCTAAATGCATTTCTGTATACACTATCCCTCCTTCCTAGAAGGCCCTGCTCTCTCCAGTTCAAGATGTCGTCTGTAGGAGGCCCTGACGGCCCCATCCTCCTGCTCCATCTCTCCCTCTCTAACCTTTCTCTGGCATCGAGCACACACTAACTGCTCCACATGGGAGTGCAGCTCCTGGAAGACAGGGGTCAGCTTTCCCGTTGCTCCTCACTGTCTCAGGTTGTGCAGGGCCGAGTACTGTCTCCACCGAGCAGCAGAGCCAGTTCTACAGAAGCAAAGAGTTTCCCAATGGAGGCCCAGCCTAGGCTGCCCTGAGCAGTAAGGTAGGGTGGTCCTGGGGGCAGGACACAGCTTCCTTCCCATATTCCCCTGCAGAGAAGCAACGGGAGCTGGCCCGGAAGGGCTCCCTGAAGAATGGAAGTATGGGTAGCCCTGTAATCCAACAACCCAAGAAGAACACTGTCATGGCCCGGACAAGGTAGACACCCCCACACACACACCCCACCTGGACCCTGCCAGTCAGCATCTATCCTGATGCTGGTCCTGAGCCTTCTCCTCTTCCCTCCTTCCTCAGGCCTAGCTCCTCTCTGAGAGCAGAGAATCTCAACAGAATCCAAGCGGGAGGGAGAGGGGGAAGGGAAGTGGTGGGGTGGGGGGGCCCAACCCAATTCCTCACCAGACTTGTGTGCTCCCGTTGCCAATCCAATCCCCCAAATTCTCCACCCAGGCTGGTCGTTCCCAATAAAGGCTATTCCTCGCTTGACCAGAGCCCAGACGAGAAGCCACTGGTAGCCCTTGACACTGACAGGTGTGTACGGGGATGTTGGGGCAGCTGGGCAAGCCACAGGAACCTGTGTGAGCATACAGGTGGACTGTACAGGCCATACCTGTTATAGTGTCAGAATTGAGATATTCCTCAGATAGCCAGGAACTCTCCAAGGATGAAGCCCCCAGGGACTGGAATTTTTACCTGGAGGTGGGGAAGAGCAGAGAGAGGAAAATGGGACTGGTACAATCTATTGCTATTCTGGGACAACTGATCCAATGGCTGCCCTGAGAATGGGCACTGATTCAATGCTTAATACCTTGCCCCCTGCAAGGGAGCAACCCTACTGCTGGGAACACACCTGGCCAGACCTGGACTTTGGGAAAACTCAACAAGCCAGGGTGATTTGAGCCTAGATAAAAAGGGGGAGGGGAGGGGGAAAAGGAATAGCATCTACTCAGAAAGAGGTTAAGGGTGGCAATTTATTTAGAAAGGTGGGGCTAGGGAACCTGTCTTAAAACTCCATTGGTACAGCAAGCAGTTTTCATTTAGATTGAGCTGTTTATTTGGAAGTGTGGGAGAAGGGTGGGGTATTGACTGGTGGGGGTCAGGGGGTGGTGCAGGGAGTTTTCTATTTAATTTCCAGGAATCACTTCCCTCTGTCTCCTTTTCTCCATGGCCAGCGATGATGACTTTGACATGTCCAGATACTCCTCTTCTGGCTACTCCTCTGCTGAGGTGAGGCCCCACCCTTCCTACCCTAGACACACCCCTCCAAGCAGGGATGGGCCAATGCCGAATCACACCTGAGGGGCGCTATGGGCCAAGCTAGGCAGAGCCGCTGTGGGGGTGGGTCCTAAATGGGGCAGGGCTGAATAAAGGTGAGGCTGTTAGACCCTGGCCTCAACCTAGGGGATCCTGGGATTAGGGTGGGACTTGAACCCAGGGTTGTCACTTACATAGAATGCAACGTGAAAAACAGATGACACTGTTCGGGGATGTGCCTCAAGTAGGAGCAGGGCCCTAATAGAGACAGGACCTCAGGTGGGAAGTTACCTGTAGAATGGGGTGGGGTCTGTCACGGGGAAGAGCCTCACAAGGAAGTGCCTGTAAAGAAAGTGAGGCCAGAACTGAATTAGGGGTGAAGCCAGGGGTTTCTGGAGAGACCTGGGATGGGACAGATCTGGGGAAGGCCTGGTGGTTGGTGCCCCTGGGTCCCTGGAGCCTGACCTCCCCCCGCTTTGTCTACAGCAGATCAACCAAGATTTGAACATCCAGCTGCTGAAGGATGGCTACCGGTTAGATGAGATCCCCGACGACGAGGACCTGGACCTCATTCCCCCCAAGTCCGTGAACCCCACTTGCATGTGCTGCCAGGCCACGTCCTCCACTGCCTGCCACATTCAGTAGTGGGTGGGGCCGCCGCAGCCAATGGAGCCGGGCCACTGGGGGCCAGGTTAGACAGGGCAGGGGCAGACCCCTCCCCAGCTCTTCTGCCAGCCCCCCCGGCCCCGCGTCCCCTACAGCCGCCAACCTCGTAAAAGTCATTGCTTCCTCCTATGGTAGGACGTGTACCTCTGTGTGTTCATGGAGCCGGAGAAACCAAAACCGGGTCTCTCTCTACCCCAGAAACTGAGGAGGGGAAGGGGCTGTTTGTCCAGTTACTTGGGGGACTTTGCCCAGCACCTTTTTGCTCTCCCCAAAGCTACAGTCCAGTGGGAGAGTGGGGGACTGGACAGCAGGGGGGCCAACAGTAATGAGTGGGAGGGATCACAAAGCCAGGGGCTTGGCCCCACCCCATGAAGCCATGCACCCCCAGCCCAGTAAGGAAAGGGACTCTGAGGTAGAAAGGCCCAGTGGAGTGGGGGCAAGGTCTAGTACCTTGGAGCCCCTCCAGCAGCCCCTGTTGGCCATGTACCTATTTGCATTTCTCCCCTCATCTCCAGATGGGAAGCCTGGCAAAGTTGCCCAGTGGAATATTGTCCCCCACCTATCGGATCACTGCCTACTTCCTCCTCTTTGCCCCATTCACCCCTTCCTTCCTTCCTTCCTTCCTTCCTTCCTTGTTCTCTGAGTTGAGGGTAAGAGGCCTTAGAGACAGGCCAGAGTTTGGGATGGTTGGGATGGTATGATCTGTCCTCACCTGCCCCTAACCAATGTATCTCTCTGCCAACCCCCTCCCCACCCCACCCCCCCACACACACATACACATACACGCGCACTCACACACGCAAATGCTTCTGTTCATTGGCCTCTGTCCCAGGCTAGAAGCAGGAGGTAACACTAGCCTCGAATGCCCCATTCCCATCTCACTCCAGCCCAAGATTTCAAATCCTTCTTCCCAGAAAGAACCTTCAAGGGAGCAAGCTTAGGAGAATGCTATGGCTGCCTGTGTATGGCAGGGAGCGCTTGATAGGATGCGTGTGTGCCTGCGGCTATCAGGGTGTGCGTCTGTCTCTGTGTGGGCCTGTCTTTTTAGATGTCTGCTTCTGTCCTAGATGGTGAGGAAGTGACTGTGTGGTCTGTTCACAGTGTGAGAGGCTGTTCAGCAGTGCAGTGGACTGAGCGCCCTGGACTGGGACTCAGAGCCTGGTTCCAGCCCCAGCGCTGGCACTGTCCCGGTGGTCTTCAACAAGCCACTGCGTCCCCTGGGCTTCAGCTGTCAAATGAGCAGCGTCTGAACGTTCTGAAGAAACTTTGTCAGAGGAATTTCTGTGGAGGTGTACAGGGAGGTCTCTGTGTGTCTTTGAGTACACCTAGGAGGCTTCCTGAGTTGTATGTCTGCGTGAAAAGGAGAAGGGGGAGTTCCTATGGGACCTGTGTATGTTTGAGTGCATGCAGATCTATTTGGGAATACATGTGTGTGTGTCTATGTGTGTGAGTATATATTGTGTATGTGGGTATATGGGGTGTCTGTGAGTCAGAATGTGTGTACTGCTGTCTCTGCTGCAGTTGCTGGGGTGGGGAAGATGCCAGAAAAGCTGATGATGAAAGTCAAGGTCCTCCCCTGGGACTGGGCAATATAGACCTGCCCCATGTAAAGAAAAATGAAAGCACAGTTAGCCTAAGACTGCTCTGGTCTATGCCCCCACAAACCCTATATCCCAGGGCCAGGGTGTATACCCTCCATTCTTCCATGCTGCCACCTCACAGCCCATTCCCGGGAGGTGGAGCTGGAAGGGGGAGAGGGTAATGAGAGAATAAGGCTGCTACTTAGGAAGGGTAGCAGCTCTCCCTGTACTACACCCAGGGGTCGCCAGCTCCAAAGTACTAAGGTGAAGCTCTCCAACCCCTAACCCAGCCCTACCTCCTCTTGTACAGGGACCCTGGTTAGATGATGAGAAAATGCCAAAGGGAGACAAGGACAGAGACGGTATCTGCAGGGCCCACAAGGCCCATACCAGCCCCCAACTGTGCCCATCTCTCCCACCAAGGTCAGATCCCTACACCCTGTCATCTGGGCCCCAGCGCCAAGCCTCCTACTACTATCACCACCACGCTGGGTTTCTTGACTCACTCTTCGAGAACATGGGTACTTCCTCTTTTCCAAGTAGGGCCCCACCAGGGCTCATTTAGACTGCTACCTTTGCTGCTGATTTGCTGTGTGACTATGGCCCACTGTTGAACCCCTCTGTCCCTGAGGAACCAGGGAACACTCCCTCCACGCAGGACATACCTAGTTCCCTGGCAGGCAAGGACTTCCAACTGAGGCAGTGTACAAGTGGTGGGGAGAGGCAGCCAGCACCTCTGGGTCTAGGAAGTGTGTGGTTCCCTCCTCCCCTGTCCGGGAGGATGGAGGGGAGGAATTGAGGCCTTAGCTTGCCCCCTGTCATTCTTCCCCCTTGTAGATACTGCCTTAACACTCCCTCAACCCTCAGCTCTGGCTGCCACCCAGCCAGGTTTCTCCGTGCTCACTAATTTATTTCCAGGAAGGTGTGTGGAAGACATGAGCCGTGTATAATATTTTTTTTAACATTTCCATCGCAGTATTGACCATCATCCTTGATTGTGTATCGTGTAACACAAATAATGATATTAAAGGCATCAAACAAGTCAGCCTCAGCTCCCTACCTGGGGTGTGGGCCAGGGCCAGGTGGGCTGGAAAGGGGAGAAAACGGATCCTCTGAATGCACATTTCACTCTACCTCCACTCATGGGTTCCCGGGCCGAGCCTGCCACTGACCTGCTGTATCACCCTGGTGAGTCACTTGACCCCTTGGAACCTCCACTTATCTTCATCAAAGTGAGAAGGTTGGCCTCGAAGATCTCCAGGGACCCTCTGAACTCTTGGAAATTGGGTTCTTTTGAGAGACTTGAGGGAGGAAAAGGCTGGAGCAGGAAGAGAATTGGACCTCCTCACCTCCTCAGGGCTGGGACTAAGCCAAGTGATATCATAATGGGCAGTGCCCATCCTGGAGTGGGTAGCAGGGTGGGGTAGAAGCAGGAAAGCTGTGAGAGAGGGAAGTTGAGAGATCCTCCATAGAAGGGAATCATAGCAGCTAAGGGCACGTGCCGGGCTGGAGGTGTGGGCGATCTGGAAGGGGGGGAATCACTGATGGTTTGCAGGAGCCCTTGGTAGGTAGAGCCCACCTGGGCATTCCCTAGACCCCACTATGTTCCTCTTCTCCCGAAAGACCAGGACCCCCATCAGCACCTACACTGACTCCTACAGGGCTCCTAACTCCATCAAGAAGGTCTATAACGACCCACCTCTGTGGGCCTGGGAACCCAACAAGTTTGTGAGCCGGGTAAGTAGAGGTTGGGGTGGGGGACAGGGGCAGGCTAATGCGTATGGCCATGCATGTCTGGATGGACTGGCAGTGTGTGGTTATAGTTACTTTTGTAATTATTTGTAGCTTTGCATGTGTGTTTTTTATTCTTTTGCCTAGATGTGGAATTTATAATGATATATAAAATAATGCAAGATCCTGCTTTCATAGTGCTCTGCTACACCAAGTTAGGAGATGTAAAGAGTTAGATAAGTCAAGGAATAAACAAGGCTTTTATAAATTATCCAAAATGCTATAAAGGAAGTAAACAGGGTAGTGGAAATGGAAAGTAACCAGAGAGAGTTACTCAAATAGAGGTCATAGAAGACCTAGATGAGAGCCAGGTGAAGAGCTGAAAGAATAGGGTTCCAGGCAGAATGATCAGAACGTGCAAAGGTCCTGAGACTGCCTGAGGGATATGCCAGAAAATGTCCAATAGTCATGTTTTTGTGCATGCAAATCAGGCTCCTTGTATCTGTCTATGCCACTTGCACAAAATGGAGAGATCTGTGAGTCTAATGGTGACTGTCTAAGGCAGCGGTTCTCAACCTGTGGGTCGCAACCCCTTTGGCGGTCGAACGACCCTTTCACAGTTGTCGCCTAAGACCATCCTGCATATCAGATATTTACGTTACAATTCATAACAGTAGCAGCATTACAGTTATGAAGTAGCAACGAAAATAATTTTATGGTTGGGTCACAACATGAGGAACTGTACTTAAAGGGCCAGAAGGGTGAGAACCACTGCTCTAAGGGAAATTAGCTGTATGCACCATCCAACAAACTTTGTTGGGGATCTACATGTGCCAGGCTGTCTTTCAGGAGCTGTCAGCAAACAAGTGAATAAAGTAGGGTTGTGCTGTGTGGAACATGCCCCAGCAAAGGCATGGGCAATGGTCCAAGAGCTGGAAAGAGGAGAGCATTCCTGGGACTTTAGGGCAGGTCTACTAAGAGATTCAGGGGGAGGAGACTTCCATAGAGCAGCCTGGGGGCAGGGGCCCACCAGGGACTGAGAACTACTAGTGCAAGGGAGAGGAGCCTGCAGACCAGGAAGAGCTTCAGGCTGTGATAAGAAATAAGGACATAATGCTCCAGGTTTTTTAATCTGTGAGTGTCATGATTAGATTGTGAGTGATGCCACTCTGGCTACAGTGGCAGGAGATTGAAGGGGTTGGGGCTGAGGGCAGGAAGCAGAGTGAGATGGCAGCGGATGAGGGAGGAGGATGTATGTGGGAGATAAGGATAGACTGTGGCAGAGAAAAGGGGAATTTGTTGCTTAATGCAGAAAATGGGGATAACTCGAAGAGGCACAAAGAAAAAAAGGCCTATAATCTCACAACCCCAAATAACCACTGTTAATTTATTATTATATGCCCATTTAGGAAGCAAATATACTTTGTGAAAATTGTATCATGTTGTATACTAATATTTTGAATCTTGCTTTTTTCGTATAGCCATATGGCAGGTCATTTTCCTTGTGAAACATATTTTATAATTTTAATGACTCTATACTATTTTATTTTATGAATGTACCAAGATACTAGTATATTTAAGAAATCATATGTTATTGGTAGTTCAGATTATTTATAAAAATTTTGCTAATATTATTCTTGTCTATATCTATCTTTTTATGCATCAACTGTTCCCTAAAGATAAATTCCTAGACATGAAATTGTTAGGAGAAAGGACATGCACATTTTAAAAATGTTTGATATACACTTCAAATTTCTGTAATAAGGTTTGTAATAATTTACATGCTGACCAGCAAAATATGAGCACGCCTGCCTGCTTTTCCACACTCAATAGAAAAAATTTTTAAAAAATAGATCAACGTCTTGGTCACCATCAGTATATAAAGAAGAGGGGAGAGATTAGGATGATTCCTGGATTGGGGGCTCTGGCAACTGGAGGAATGGACAGTGCTACAAATTGAGATTTGGAATCATAGAGAGAGATTCGGAATGGATTTGGGGGCAAAAATATTCAAGGACTTTCAGGAAAATATGTCTGGTGGATAGTTGGATATACTTAGCTCTGAATCAAAGGAAAGAGGTTTGGGCTACAGATATATATTTTTAAATCATCAATATATCAGTAGTAGCTGAAGTCATAGGAGTGAATAGGATTGTGAAGGAAGAATAAGAAAATGACCAATCCCAGAACTGTGGAGAATATCAATATTTAAAGGGTAGCTAGAGGAAGAAGAGCCATAAAAGGAGACAGAGTGATAGGAAGAAAGTCAGAGAAGCCAACCAAGATAGCATTGTTAGACAAAGGTCAGTATCAAATGTCGACACAGAAAGGAATCTCTTGGATGTAGTAACCTTAGTAACCTGGCCAGACGGCTTCAGTGAGTAGCAGTGGGATTAAGAATGAAAGCCCACCAGTGAGGCTCAGTGGTTGAGCACCTCAGTTCCACTCCGGTCAGGGCACATGCTTGGGTTGTGGGCGCGATCTGATCAATGATTATCTCTCATTACTGATGTTTCTCTCTCCCTTCCTCTCTGGAATCAACAAAAACATATTTTTTTAAAAGGAATGAAGGAAAGGCTTTTGCTTCTGGCAGTACAGTGTGGTCTAGAAAACTCAGAAAACCCTCCTGCTTCAAAACAGCGAGGTCCTGCATAAAAATTTTTATTTTGTTGTGTACTCTCATGGAGGTGAGTGGTAAGTATACTTAGAAGACAGGATTGTCCGGAAGACAAATGTCAGCACTACAAGCAGGAGTTTAAGTCTTCAGCTAGCTAAAAGACGGAGGACCTAAACCTGCAAATTCCAACCTGAACCACAAAGTTCAGTGATCTCTAGCTCCCTGCCCCCAACACACACACACACACACACACTATTAATGTATGTATCTCTTCTATGGTGAAAAATATTCTCAATGTATGTTTCCAGGTATCCTTTAGAATAAGGCCAATCAACTCTGAGCTCACAAGAAGAGCTATAAGGAAACAAACCACCATGTGACAGTCAGCAGAAACAACCAACTTAAACCTCCAAGGACTTCAGATATTGAAATTAATAGTTAATGACTACAAAATAATTATGAATTTTTAAAATAAAATGTGAAATTATTAAAATGAGCAAACAATAGGAGATTGTATTTTTAAAATATCAGACAAATGTAAGAAAAGAACTGAATAGGAATTTTAGAAATGAAAACCATATGTGTTAAAACCAAATATTCATATTGGGATACTGGATGGGTTAAAGAACAGATTAGACACAGCTTAAAAGCCTCAGTGGAATGAAAGATAGAATGAAAGAAATTTTCCAGAATGCAGCACAGAGAGACAAAGAGATAGGATATATGAAAGAAACATTAAGCAGTATGAAAGATAGGAGAAAATTCACACACATCTACTTGGTGTCCTATAAAAAAAAAATCAGAAAGAATAAGCATTATCTGAAGAGGGAAAAGCTCTGAACTTTCCAGAACTAATGAAAGAAATGAATCCACAGCCACAGAATAAATAGAAGGAATTCCACATTTAGATGCCTCGCAGTGAAACTGCACAACACCCAGGCTTGGGTGACATTGCAAATCTGTGGGAGAAGATAGATACTTAATGGGACAATTGGTTATCCATATAGATAAAAATAAAATTGATCCCTAAATCACACCAAACCCCAAAAGCAATACCTCACAGATTAAAGGCTTAAGGAAAATAAACTGTGGCTTATATTAGAGGAAAATATAAGACACTGTCTCCATTATCTTAGAGTGTGGATGGATTTCTTAAACAAATCACAAAAGCACTACAAAAGAGGTTAATAAATTCAACCATGTTAATAAGAACTTTTGTTCATCAAAAGATACCACAGAGAAAATGAAGATACAACAAGCCAAAAACTGAGAGAAGATATTTGCAACATGTGACTGACAGGGAATTAGTATATAGAATAGATAAAGAATCATAGTTTTCTGAGTTAAAATTAAACACAGGCCGTGTACAGTCTGAAGAAAGAGAACAGGAGCTTCCAACTCTGTCCTTAAGAACCACCCAGTCAAAAAAAAAAGGACAGAAATGAAAACATCAGAAAACCACCCTGACTGAAGTCCAGTGCCTGGCTCTAAGCCCTAGTCTTAGATGAAAAGAAAGAAGCAAAGGGCAATTCAAATGAGAGAACTATTCAGAGGGGACCAAGGCTGGCGTGGGAATCCTCAGGCACAGGTAGTGGTTTTGAAATCTGGGACTTTTTCTGATTTATTTTTCTTACTTTTGGGGGGAGAGAATATTCATGTGTTGTCCTGTTTGTTTGTTTTTAAAAATTAACTTTGGTGGAACTTAATTATTTTATACATACATTCACCAAATACCTTGGCATTTCAAACAAAGAATTTCCCATAACTTTTTAGTTTGCCTTTGGTTATTTCTAATATGTTTTGTCCCTGATAGTCATCATGCATGGCCAGAACTGTTTGGTTTATTAAAATGTAGCAACTTTTTAAAATAAATAAAATTTTAAAAAGGGAGGCGGTTGGGAGACCCACCTGGGCTGACCTTCTCAACAGTGGCTGGATCTAAGTCCAATAGGACTCCAAGGCTGGAGTTTCTGTGCACTTAGACATTTCCTCCCCTCTCCCCTTGCACAGGGCCCGCCTAAGACTTTTCAGCGCCCTGTGGATCAGGAAGCCCTAGAGAAGATGGTTAAATGTGCTGTGCGGGACTACACCTATAAGAGTTCCATACCAGGCCACCCCTACTTGCCTGAGAAATACTGGCTCTCTCAAAAGGAAGGTAGGGCCTCACCCCTTGCCCAACTCTGACCCTATTCATGACCCCAACAATGACACTCCATCTGAACCCAACTTGGATCCTGACCTCTACCCTGATCATATTTCAGTCTTATCTCCCCCATGACCAGGGCTTCTTCTCTAACTACCCCCACTCCAGCTTGACTCCCAAACCACTTGACCTGACATTAACCCTGGAGGAGATTCAGCCCTGTCTTCTGGGAGCTCCTTGTCTATGCTAAAGAACTGGAACAGGCCTAGGTCTTATCCCCACAGAGATAGAGGAAGTATTAACCTCCTCCAAACAAATCCAAGTGCCATCTCCTCCTAACTTCTTAGTGACCCTTTTTCATCAAGTTCCCCATCTCTCCTGCATCCCTCAGCCTTACCACACCTCTTTCCCTTCCACCTAGAAGCCTTTTCCAATCTCTTCCTGCCTAAAAAGTCTCTCTTCCTTCTCCCCTTCATCACCAAGATTTTCAGAGACAGTCTATACTCACTGTTTCTATCTACTTCCTCGCTCCTTCTTACACCTTATGAGAAATTATCTTTCTCATTTGATTAGATGTTAATGATCTGTTACTCTGTACATCCCAAAAGAGCAGAGAGTCATGTCTTAATCACAGCTGTGCCTCCTCCACATAAAAAATAGCACCAAGCTTCATAAGTACTTGTTGAAAAGATTGATGACAAAATCTTCATCCAGTTGAAACTGGGGGTCTGAATCTTCTACACTCAAACATTAAAACTGCTCTTGTGTGGTTCTAACTACCACATCCATGATACTCTTCAACCTTTACCTTACGAGACCCACCCTATGCATTTCACTCTCTGACCACTCTACTTCTTGAAACGCCTTCCTTACCCAGCTTCTCTGATGCCTCAACTTCCTGGGTGTCTTGTCAACTATTCTGGAAAAATTGGGTTCCTCCGAGTGCTAATCTAAGCCCTCTTCTGATACCATTTCATCTAACCAACGTCTTTACTGACAACTCCAAGTCTTTATTTCTAGCCTCGACCTCTCATCAGAATTCCTCTCTCCATCTGACTATAGTCATGTTTACATGAATGTCCCCAACTCAGTATGTCCAACCCACCAACCCAGAACTCCAAATCCCAATACCATGCCGCATACGCACACTTGCCCTTTCTCTAGGGCTCCTAGACCTCCTTTCCTGATGTCTCTCATATGTGTTCTTTCAGACTGTTAGGAGAGTGGATCACAGAGGGCCTTGTTGGACAAACTTGGGTGATTAGGTGAATAGGGCTTTGAAAGGTTTTAAGTAGGGAAGTGTCTTGGTCAGATTTACATCTGTAAAAAAAAGTGCCAGAGCTTTCGAGTAGAGATTGGATTGTGGGATTTCAAAAATGAGGTAAGGAGACCAGTAGGCTAATAAAATAATAGTTTTCTAAGTTCCAAGTATTTAGATATACTAATTAATTTCGATCTCATAACAGCCCTATAAAGTAGACAGTACTATTATCCCATTTTAAAATTGAGTAAACAGATACAGTGAAATTAACTCAGTCAAATTAACACACAGCTAATATCTGGCAGAGCTGAAATCTGAAGACAAGCAGTCTGTCTGCAGAGTCCATTCTATTGATCACAACATTATATAGTCTCTGGGTTAAGGCACTGCAGAGATACAGAGAGAGACCATGGGAGACTGGAAGAGGGGATAGATTCAAGTGGTTTTAAGGAGGCAGAATAAGCAAACTTGGGAAATAAATGTGGAAGATGAGAGGGAGGGAACAATTGGGAAGAGGCCCAGTTTCCAGATTGGCTCATTCAGAGAGGGTTGTGCCACGATAAAAAGCGATCAGCTCAAAGGATCCAGACCCAGGTAGAAGCAAGCCTGAGGTAGAAAATGGGCTGCAGCCCTAGCTGCTTTGGCTCAGTGGATAGAAGGTTGGCCCATGGACTAAAGTGTCTCAGGTTTGATTCCAGTCAAGGGTCAAGGGCACGTACATTGGTTGCAGGCTCAATCCCCAACCCAGGTTGGGGCACATGTGGGAGGCAACCAATTGACGTGTTTCTCTCACCACATTCACTGTTTCTGTCTCTGTGTCTCTCCCCCTCCCTTCCATTCTCTCTTTAAAAAAAAAAAAAATCAATGGAAAAATATCCCTTAGGTGATTAACAAAAAAATAAAATAAAGAAAATGGGATGTATCTCAGTGTGTAAGACAATTATGAGGCCAGGCTGGGCTTTGACTGGCCTGAGGGAAATCAGGGAGAATCCAGTTTTGTGCTGGGGATCAAAGGAGAAACATTTAGGAAGTCTGGGATCCTGGGGTAGAACAAGGAGTAACACTGTCTTACCCTCCACCCTTAAAATCCAGCAGACAAATGCAACCCCAACTATCTGTGTAGCGACTGGGGTAACGCATGGAGAATGGGACCTTACTGCTGCACTGACTGGAACAAGTGTACCACATGCCTTCCCCGGCTGCCTAAGGTATCTACTGGGCTCAGCACAGATGGCGTCTGGGCACACAGGCACGCGCACCTCCACCTCCCAAACCACAGTGACATATTTCACCATTAATTACTCATCCCTTTCCCATCAGCAATGCCCCAGGCCTCTTTCCCATCCGTGAAATTGTGACACTAGGGTTTGTATTTTCCAGGAGACGAGGGAACCCAGGAGTGGAGCTGTGCTAGGTCACTGGGTCCCAGTCTCAGACTGGCTTCACTGGGTCCCAATTTCTGGCTGGGTTCTATGGGGGATAGGCTAGTGCGCACTCCTTGACAATCTATACTCCTAAGCTTGCCACTTGGCTCCTTCCACAAGTCTGGCCAAGGAGCAGTGTTAGGCTGTCTACCTGCTCTACTCTCCCCTCTGTGATGTCAGCAATGACAAAAGGAGGGAAAATCAGGCCACTCAGAGGCAATGCAGATAAAACATCGGGGAGTGATCCAAGGGGAGAAGGAGTCCAGGCCAGCCCGGGTCTGAGGGAGTGTGGGAGACTCTGAGGCCTCAGCAGGGGCTCTCACTGTAGGCTGATGGCTGACCTTAGATTGACTGAAGTCCTGAATCAGAACTTCCTCAAGAAGCAGGACTTTTCACAAATTCCCAGGGAATTCTCATGGGCAGGCAATATTGAAAACACCCTGTTAGAGAGACGCGGAGACATAGCTAGACAGAGTCAGCTAGACAAAAAGGGGTAAAACCAAAGGCAAACGCTGAGGTTGGGTTGTCAGACGCTCAGGTGCCTACCCGGTCCAACTAGTTCCATTCCTTCCCCCCTCCCCTCCCCAGGTAGGCGGAGTAAATGCGTTGCCTGGCGACAACTCCAAACGGGGCGGGGCAGAGAGGGGAGCGTCTGGAGGACGGGATTAGGCGCGGCCTGGGACTGGTCTGGGGTGCTGGGAGGGAGAACCCCAAAAGGGGGTCCTTCCAGGTCAGAGCTTGAGGTAGCGTGTGTGCCATTTCCAGGAAGCCGGGATGGAGACAGCAGTTCGAGGAATGCCCTTACAGTACCCTCCTAAGCCGGAGCGACTCAATGCCTATGGTAACGGATGGGGGCGCCAGGGGGGGTTAGAAGGGGGGACGGGTATCAGGAGGCCATAAAGAGTGGGATGGGGACCTGTGGGACGAGGTGGGGGCCGAGGACCCTGGACCCCGGAGAGGGTGTAACCCTGTCTCTGTCTGTCCCTATTTCTCTCTCTCTCTCTCTCTCTCTCTCTCTCTCTCTCTCTCTCTGACCCTGTCTCTTCCCATTCTTGTGACTCTCTGTCTGGGTCTCCCGGGCTGGGGACCTGCGGACCCAGAGCGCGAGGTGGTGGTGAACATGCTGAACTCGCTGTCACGGTACCAGACGCTGCCGCAGATCACGCCCCGATGCGGGTGCGTGGACCCGCTGCCGGGCCGCCTGCCCTTCCAGGGCTATGAAAGCCCTTGCTCGGGCCGCCACTACTGCCTGCGCGGGATCGACTACTGCGTCGCCGGGGCGCCCTGCACAGAACGCCGCCTGCAGCCTTTGTGCCCCTCGCAGCCCACAGTAAGGTTCGCAGGGCCCCGCCCAGTTCAGCCGGGCCCCGCCCCCAAACCCGCCGGTCCCAAGTCCAGCCCCCCCACCGGTGGCGGCGAGCGCTCCATCCCCAGCCGCTTCCAGCCTCTGCCTCTACGCCAGGCCCCACCCGCTCCAGCCCAGCTAGACCCCGCCCCGTCCCGCCCTCGGGCCCCGGGCTTGAACAGACCGCTGAAACGGCAGAGCCTGCACAGAGATTCCCCCGAGTTTCCGATCCTGTCCCTCCGGCACTGTGACCAAGGTCAGCCTAGCTCCTGTATCTGTTCTGGAGGGCTCTGTGAACCACCCCCCGCACACCAGTCTCATCCCCTTCCCATGCGCGCCAGCCCCACTCCCTACCTGGACACCCGATCCTGGGGACGTGTTCTCAGAAGTGTCCTCTATTCCTGGGCCTCGGGCCATCGTCAGTAACGGGCAGGGTTATGGCTGAGTGCCAAATGAGCGAGGAAAATGGTGACCGGGCGACCAGCAGGGCCCTGGCCTCCTCGGAGCCCTGCACCGCCTCCGGAGGTAGACAACCTTGCATGTCACTGCAGAGTAAACTGAGGCCCGAGCGCTCAGCCGCAGGCCAGACTGTAGTGCCAGGCGGCACATAGGGCGGGCTGGACCTGGGAAAACGCCAATGGCCCCATCCGTCTAAAGCAGTGGTCGGCAAACTCATTAGTCAACAGAGCCAAATATCAACAGTACAACGATTGAAATTTCTTTTGAGAGCCAAATTTTTTAAACTTAAACTATAAACTTAAACTATATGGGTAGGTACATTGTTATTAACTTAATTAGGGTACTCCTAAGCTGGCCTTTGCTAAAAACATCCTCAACGCTCGCTGAGGTCGACCCCTTCCAACTCTCCCATCCACACTCGTCTTGTATACTTGTTTCGTCCATCTCCTTTCGTTCATCCTCTCTATATGTCCAAACCATCTCAACATACCTTTCTCAATCCTCGACACTACATCTTCTTTCACTCCACAACGTTCCCTAAAATTAACTTAATAAACTTTACTTAAGGTTTTAAGTCAACTTCGCACTGTACGTGCGCGCCCGCACGTGGTATTTTGTGGAAGAGCCACTTAAGGGGCCAAAGAGCCGCATGTGGCTCGGGAGCCAGGGTTTGCCAACCACTGGGCTAAAGAGCTGTGCAGGGGGTGCTCTAAACCCTAACCCCCTGGTGATCCCCGCCGCCCCTCCCTTGACAGAGAGACTGAGTCCTTGAGTGAGAGTGGGTCCTATCCCTTACAAGGGACTCGGGGGGAGAGGAAGTTCCTGAGGCTCAGAGACACGGCTCCCTGGATGGATAGTGTGCAACAATTGCCGTCCCGGGGCGAGGATCCGGGGACTCCCAGGCTCGACCCTCGCTAGAGTCCGGGTGCTTCCCTCCACGGCGCAACCCAGGCTGCAGAAACGAGGCCTTACAGGGAGGGGACTTCCAGGTGTCTTCCCAGAGGCGATGCTCCGACGGTGTCTGGAAGGGCCGGGAGACCTGAGGAGAGGGTCTCCGAGCCGTAGGACTGACACCTGAGGCGTGGACCAGAGTCCCGGTCTGGGCTTGGGGGTTAGGGGAAAATCAAAAGCCCCAACCTCTCCCGCCGCCGCTTCCTCCTCCAGGAGTGTATCGCCCAGCGAGCACCGGCCCGGGATGCACTGTGCTGTTATAACGCCCCTGCGGCCGTACTACCCTTATCCGAACCTTAGGTAAGTCTGGCGAGGTGGAGTACCTGGGGGCAGGGAGGGGGGGGGCAGAATTGGGGGTGTATACTGTCCGCTGCGATGCACTAACTGAAAGATGCCACCAGGAGGCGCTAGTGCCACGGTGAAGTCAAAACTAACAAGGCGATGGAGGACTCCATGAAGGTGTGGAGGCCAGCATTGAGAGGTTACAGGTTGACAGTGGGGCATAGAGTCAAGATTTCAGTTAGGTTCAGGGATTGAAGTAGAGGGTAAAATGTCAATGTTAGGGACTGGGTATTGGAAATCAAAAATTTGGCCATAGAACCTGAAGTCAGTGTTGGAGCCTAAGGTCAGGATTAGGGGCAAAATGTTGGGATAAGGTTAGCATTGAGAATTGGAATCAAACAGATAAGGGTCCAAAAGGGCTGGCCCATCTCTTCCCACAGGTGGGACACAAGTCACTTTAAGAAGACCAGTGGCTCCCAGAGAAACAGCTATGTTGTCCACCCTGAGTTTTTGTCCGAGAATTACCCTGGCTACTCCTACTGATAGAGCAGGACCAGGCCAAGGGGGCTGAGCAATAAATAAACTTTTCACCCCATAGGCTGCCTTTGACATTTCCACATATTCCCCTGCCTCCTGTGTCCTCATCCAGCAAGATCTGGCAATGAGGAACCAGTTACTCAGGCCTCTGCCAAGTCCCCTACACTAAGATGCAGTTTCTCAAAGTCAACCTGCCCTGAGCCCTCCCCACTCCCATCACCTCAGCACTTCCCTTAGGGTGGCCCTAAGTGCCCTCCTGACACATAAAAGTAGCCCTAGATCAGTGGTTCTCAACCTTCCTAATGCCGAGACCCTTTAATACAGTTCCTCATGTTGTGGTGACCCCCAACCATAAAATTATTTTCGTTGCTACTTCATAACTGTAATTTTGCTACTGTTATGAATCATAATGTAAATATCTGATATGCAGGATGTATTTTCAGGGGTCGCGACCCACAGGTTGAGAACCACTGCCCTAGATACACCTGGTGTCCTCCTCCCCTCCACCCCAGAGCCCAAACAAATGGGTCCACCTAGTCATGCAGAAAGGGCCCTCCAGCTAACATTCCCCTAATATCTCCTAAACTTAGATGCTTCTCACCTCAGAATCCTCCCCATCACAACCCCCCAAAAGCCTATGTTCATATACCTTGCTGTCCTCCCCAACCCAAGAGAAGGGGTCCAAAACAACAAAACAATTTTGGCCAGTTTCATGACCAAGAAATTTCTAATTACAAAACAAAGCCCTGCTTCTATGTCCCTCCGGGGAGCAAGGAGTGGGGTGTTCTGGAATCTCTGGGATCTTCAGTATTGTTGCACCCCATTCCTCCCCGGGGCAGGGGTATAGCGGGACACGCTCACTTCCTCGCAGTACAGTCATTTCCAACGCCCGTCACTGGGGAGTGGGGGGTGCGGGGAGGCTGCAAAATACCCCGGGGGAAGCCAGTGTTCTAGGTCCCTGACCTCCATACTGTTGGTCTGGGCTGGTGAGACCGACAGCTTGGGCCTCCCTGCTGGTGAAACCAAGGTCCCTCCGTGGAGTCCTTGATTGGATCCTCTTGGGCCGCTGAGATTCTCCAGGAATCCTGCTACCCTTTTCCCATATAAGAAACTTTTTTTTCCATATGGGAGAGCTAATAAGAGCGTTATACCGAGACGACCTCCACCTGCCCAAATCTGGAGGGTAAGGAATGCCAAGCGCTAACCCTGTCCCTATACCCTGCGGCTCGCTCCTTCTCATACACATCCAAATTTAGCTTGGAGGTGCAAGAAACTAACATTCTACAGCTGCTCCTTCCTCCAAACCTACATTTCCCTGAAGACCTGGAGCAGACCCCTCCCCCGCCCCCGTCCCCCCCCCGCCCCCCCCGCAAGCGGGCGGGCCTGCAGGCGAGGGCGGAGCCGGGAGGCACTGGGCTGGCTGCTGGCCTGAGATGCCGGGAGCTGAGCCCAGAGGAGTAGGAGGAAGGTAGGGGCTAAGGAGCGGGGCCTCAAGTCCGCGTGACAATGTGGGAGGAGGGGTCCGGCGTCTGGGGCGGGGCTGGACTCCAAGGCCCTGGGCGAGACCAAAAGACCTGGGCGTGGCCAGCCAGCCAGAGGGCGGGGCCTCAGCTGTCCCCTAAGTAGGCGGCGCTCCGCTTTGCGCGGTGGCAGCTCAACTCTGGCTAGCGTGGAGATCTGCAGGAGCCTACCTTCACCCCCACTTTTGGGGTCACTGCCGTGAGTGAGCCCAGGGGGAGGGCCTTGGGCGGGGCGGGTTCGGAAGGAGCACACTTAACTTTTGCTCCTATTGCTGAGTGCGTGAGGAGAGTCTGGACACCTGAGTCACCTTGGTTTCCAGTGGGAGACAGGCCCCTTGACCTCAGTCTGTCCCTTTGGACTTTGCAGCTGTTGGGCGGGTCACTGGGGGTGGGGGTGGAGCATTCCAGGCTGTAGGCCCAGTCACTCGATCTCCCGGATCCCGCCGCTGAGCAGGGAAATGGGCCGGATCGAGTTGCCTTTGACATTTCCACATATTCCCCTGGGAACAGTGTTCGAGAAACGAATCCGCTTGGAATGGCCTCCCCTCAATTGGGCCTGTCGGGTCCTCCTCCTCATACCCGACTAGGGGCTGGCAGCCAAGACTGAGGTTGACCTTAGCCAAGTGGGGAGAAGTCTTGGCTAGGGACAAACCCACCTGCCGACATTAGCCTGTGGTTGGTCTGATGGTGGAGGCAGCAGATTACAGGAGTCTGTAACGCCACCGTTAACACTGGAATCACTGTTCTTCCCCCATAGCCCCGGTACCAGATGCTATTAAAATTGCCCCTTCCCCACAAGAATCCTTCCTGGAGCAAGCAGCAGCAGCAGCCCTTGGGAAAACAGGCCTCACCGTGCCCACACCCACTTGATAGAAGCCTGTCCCAGCCTCTTGACCACAAGGCTCCTTTCCTCTGCTGCATTCAGCCTGTCAGACCACTAAATCCTGTCTCCTAAAACTGGGGCTGTGGAGGATTAAGTTGACTTTTTGGATTGAGGCAACCTACTTGGGTGACTTCAAACAAGTTCCTTTTTTTTCTGACTTGGCCACTGTTTCCTCATATGTACAATGGGCACTGTAGCTATGCCTCTTTTTGGCATTACTGTTAGGGTGGGTGCTCTGCTGGCATTTGGGAGACCAGCACAGGGCCTGCGTGGAGTGGGTGCTCAGGCCTGTAGGCTCCTATCCTTCATCAAAGAACCTCCAAATCCTAGAAAGTTAAGCTTCTCAGAAATTAAGTGTTGGAAAAGGCTTCTAAGGTCACTTTGGTGGCCTCTCCATGCCTCCAGGGGTCATGAAATGGTCTGACTTAATATGAAAGTTTTGAGAATGAGGGGGCCCTATCCAGCTATGGACCTTTCCCATTTATTTCCGTAGTGCCCAGAATGGGGCCTTGAATATAAATATGTAGCAGCTCTGACGTGGGCCACCTAAGACCTCCTTTGGGTTTTGTTTAGCTCGAGGTCATCAGCAAAAGGTTACTGCCTGCATTTCTCAGGGAGAACTTTTCTAATTTGTACCTACAGGAAGGGGAATCCATACTGGGGAGGGGAGTTTGAAAGCTAAGTGTTATGTGGGCTGAGAGGAAGGGATTAAGAGGCTGTTCCAGACCAGCCAGAACCAACTAGCTTAGGGTATTGGGGGGGGGGGGGGGCAGAGAGCACAGAGATTGAGGCCCTGAGATAGCACATTGGGAGGGGCTATATATTGAAATCTGGGATCAAAGTTCTGATCTGCATCTGGCATTCTTGATAGTCTCTTCAGGGGAGTGGTGGGGGTGGTAAAGATCCTGAACAGTTCTGACATCTCCTGGGGGACTTAGAAACAGACACTGGCATCTGGGAGGAGACTAATTACTGTTTGCCAGTCTCCCTCTCTCCTTTCCCCTAGCTGGTGCAGCGGGCTGGCTGGCAGTGTGTATGTGTGTGTATGTACCTGGCTAGGGCTATTTCTTTGTTGGACTCTGTCCTGAGGGCTAAATCAGGAAGAGTTAGTGGCCTTGAGCAGCAGATTGCAAAACACCTCCCCCAAGTCTGTTTCCCAGTCATATCTGGGTGTTTAGCATGTGTGTAGTTGGGGGGGAGTTGCGCCTCTGATCCCTGGAGAGCTGGTAGGTTGGGGAGAAATGTTGGCCCAAGGTGGATCGGTGAAATCTAAAGCAGGTGGCCCAAAGGATTTAGGTTGGGGGAAAAATGAGCTTGGTAGTCATAAGATAGGCCTGGCTGGACATAGAATCAAAAAGGCAGATGAGACCATATCATGTCTTGAACCTCAGTTGCAAAATTTATGCTTCTGAACTTCATCCCAGGGGTCATGAGAAGCTCTGTAAACTAGGAGGAGATGTGATCTGATAAGTTGGGTTTTTTTTAATCCTCACCCAATGACATGCTTCTGTTGATTTGGGAGAAAGAGATGAGAGGAGAGAGGGAGAGAGAAAGAAAGAAACATCAATGTGAGAATGAAACATCAATCAGTTGCCTCCTGCATGCGCCCCAAATCCGCCCTGACTGGGAATCCAACCCACGACCTTCTCGTGCACTGGACGACACTCCAACCAACTGAACCACACCTTTGGAAGGATCGCTGTGGTTGCTATAAGCAGAAGGCATTGGGGGAAAGAAATTAGGGCAGGGAGGTCTATAGGGGAAGTATTGCAATAATACTGGGGAGAAGAGACAGTGTCCAAAACTAGGGCAGGGGCATCAGGATGGTGGGTGCGTGGCAGAGACAAAGCTAGGTGGCAACTGGCCAAAGATGTGGTGCTGGGAGCAGAGCAGGAAGGTGGGCAGGGAAATGGGTTGGTGAACAATGGCTGAAAGCAGGGTAGAATTTGAGGACAAAGTTGGGGAGGTCTGAGAAGCCAGCCACTATGGCTCTTGAGCCAGGCTCCTGACCCCAGCCCTAATGTCTGAACCCAACCCTGCCTCCCTCCAAACCAAGCCCTAGGACAGAACTAATCTCCAGATTCAATCTGGCTTCTGATTAAATTCCATGCCTGAGCTGTTTGTTTCTTCTTGCTCTCTCCTCTCCCCTTTGGGGACAAGGAAACTCATCCTACTGCCCTATGATGCCTCCCCTCTCCCACCACGGCCACATCTCTGGGGAACCATGTCCTCTCCAGATCCCTCCCCTTCTCTTCAGCTTGAACTGCTCCCATGTGTGATCCCATGAAGTCTGATATTCTGTGATCTGGACTTCTCCCTGACCCTGTCTGGGTTTGTTTCTTCCCCACAAAAATAGGATGCATGCCATCTGCCCCTGCCCATTCAGAGTCCTGACTAATGTCGACAAACAGTAGGGCCCTTGAGAAAGGGTAAGATACAGAATGTCCTCCTAAGTCTCATCTTTGCCATTTCCTAAACCAGCTGTTCTCAACCTGTGGGTCGCGACCCCTTTGGGAGTCAAACGACCCTTTCACAGAGGTCGCCTAAGACCATCGGAAAACACATATATAATTACATATTGTTTTTGTGGTTAATCACTATGCTTTAATTATGTTCAATTTGTAACAATGAAAATACATCCTGCATATCAGATATTTACATTACAATTCATAACAGCAGCAAGAGTACAGTTATGAAGTAGCAACGAAAATAATTTTATGGTTGGGGGTCACCACAACATGAGGAACTGTATTAAAGGGTCGCGGCATTAGGAAGGTTGAGAACCACTGTCTTAAACCCTTATGTCCCCGAATACACCTTTCCAAAGTATACACCTCTTCTTTCTTGCTGCAGCAAATGGAAATACTATGGAATGAGAAGGTCCGTTCCGCCTCTCTCTCCCCCTTCCAGACTCTGGCAGGCCAGGTTCAGATGGGCTCTGTCAGGTGCCCACTGCCCGCTCCTTCCTTAACTGAGGGCTGATGCCTCAAAATCTGGAGAAGAGCCAGGCCTACCCCCGACGACGCCCTGGGCGCGACACAGGCCTGAAGAGTCCTGAGGCTGTGTCAGCCACAGCCATGTACACCTTCCTGCCTGACAACTTCTCGTCTGTAAAGCCCAAAGCGTCATCAAAAGAGTCGAAATCGCTGCTGGGCTCTGTAGTGGTGGGGCTGCTGCTGGTGTTGGCCGCGGTGGTAGCCTGGTGCTTCTACAGCGCCTCTCTGCGCAAGGCTGAGCGTCTGCGCGCGGAGCAGCTGGACCTTAACCTTGGAGGTTTCTCCATCCGCAACCAGAAGGGCGAGCAGGTCTTCCGCCTGGCCTTCCGCTCCGGTGCCCTGGACCTCGACTCCTGCAGCCGCGATGGCGCCCTGCTGGGCTGCTCCCGCACGGCGGATGGGCGCCCGCTACACTTCTTCATCCAGACCGTGCGGCCCAAGGACACCGTCATGTGCTACCGCGTGCGCTGGGAGGAGGCGGAGCCGGGGCTCGCCGTGGAGCACGCCATGTTCCTGGGGGACGAGGCGGCGCACTGGTACGGCGGCGCGGAGATGAGGACCCAGCATTGGCCCATCCGGCTGGAAGGCCAGCAGGAGCCGCAGCCCTTCGTCACCAGCGACGTCTACTCCTCCGACGCCGCCTTCGGAGGCATCCTCGAGCGCTACTGGCTCTCCTCGCGCGCGGCTGCCATCAAGGTCAACGCCTCAGTGCCCTTCCACCTGGGCTGGAACGGGACGGAGCGCTCGCTGCGGCTGCAGGCGCGCTACAGCAACACGCCCTTCAAGCCACCGGCCGGCCTCCCCGCCGCGCCCGAGCTCAGCTACCGCGTGTGCGTCGGCTCAGACATCACCTCCATCCACAAGTACATGGTCCGGCGCTATTTCAATAAGCCGTCGAAGGTGCCCGCACCCGAGACCTTCCGGGACCCCATCTGGTCCACGTGGGTGCTGTACGGGCGGGAGGTGGACCAGGACAAGGTGCAGCGTTTCGCCCAGCAGATCCGGCAGCACCACTTCAACAGCAGCCACCTGGAAATCGACGACATGTACACACCCGCTTACGGGGACTTCGACTTCGACGAGGTCAAGTTCCCCAACGCCAGCGACATGTTCCGCCGCCTGCGCGACGCGGGATTTCAGGTCACGCTCTGGGTGCACCCGTTCGTCAACTACAATTCCTCGTCCTTCGGCGAGGGCGTGGAGCGAGAGCTGTTCGTGCGCGAGCCCACCGGCCGGCTGCCGGCGCTCGTGCGCTGGTGGAACGGCATCGGCGCCGTGCTGGACTTCACGCGCCCCGAGGCCCGCGACTGGTTCCAGGGGCACCTGCGGCGGTTGCGCTCGCACTACGAGGTCGCCTCCTTCAAGTTTGACGCGGGCGAGGTCAGCTATTTGCCGCGGGACTTCAGCACCTACAGGCCGCTGCCGGACCCCAACATCTGGAGCCGGCGCTACACGGAGATGGCGCTGCCCTTCTTCTCCCAGGCTGAGGTCCGCGTGGGCTACCAGTCGCAGAACATCTCCTGCTTCTTCCGCCTGGTGGACCGCGACTCCGTGTGGGGCTACGACCTGGGGCTGCGCTCGCTCATCCCGGCCGTGCTCACCGTCAGCATGCTGGGCTACCCATTCATCCTGCCGGACATGGTGGGTGGCAACGTGGTGCCGGAGCGCACCGCGGGCGGCGGCAAGGTGCCGGACCGCGAACTCTACGTGCGCTGGCTGGAGGTGGCCGCGTTCATGCCCGCTATGCAGTTTTCGGTCCCACCCTGGCAGTACGACGCGGAAGTGGTGACCATCGCGCACAAGTTCACCGCCCTGAGGGCCTCGCTCGTGGCACCGCTCCTGCTGGAGCTGGCCGGGGAGGTCACGGACACCGGCGACCCCATTGTGCGCCCCCTCTGGTGGATCGCGCCGGACGACGAGACAGCTCACCGCATCGACTCGCAGTTCCTCATCGGGGACACCCTGCTGGTGGCACCGGTGTTGGAGCCCGGCAAGCAAGAACGTGACGTCTACCTGCCCGCGGGCAAGTGGCGCAGCTATAAGGGTGAGCTTTTTGACAAGACCCCAGTGCTGCTCACCGATTACCCCGTCGACCTGGATGAGATAGCCTACTTCATCTGGGCGTCCTGACCCAGCCCGGAGCCCGGGGACCGCACAGCTCTAACTCGCCTTCCCGCAGGCCTTTTACCCTCCATCACAACCACCCCGTGGATCCCCAGGAAGTCCCTACCTCTGTACCACCCTCTACCTGGGTGCTAACATAAATGTGCTCCACCCACTCCTGCAGGGCCAGAGGAGGGCGCGGAAGCAGCCTCCCACTCCTACGCACAACCTAACAACCCCCTTTCCTCCACTCACCCTTGTCTACAGAAACCTTTCTCTGGGGTGGGGGGGTGTGAGCTCCGAGGGAAAAGGTCAGTTCCTGTTACACATGGTTGGATTTTAAAAGCACAAAAGAAAAAAACCTCACTCTCCATTCTGGCCTGGGTAGCCATCTTATCCTTCCGAAGTGGGGACTTGATCCTCTTTCAGGTCCCAAAATAGCCCCCTGCCACACTAAGAAAGGGCATATTCTTGGGGTTGGAAGCCAGGCCCTGAGTTCTCAGCCCTGGCCTGAACTGTGACTGACCTGATCCCACCGCAGCTGCCGGGAAGAGATGGGGGTACTTGGCCACATGGAGGACTTGATTCAGTGCCGTGCTATCATCATTGTCCCTCATTTGTGAAGAGACTCCTAACACTGCACTAACCATCTGTGTACACACATGCACTCAGCCTTGTGTACACATATGTGCTCAGCACAAAGACTTGCAAGACCATGCAGGCCAGACTTGGTGCCTTACCCCAAGACCCTGTGTGTGTGTGTGTGTGTGGAGAGAGAGAGAGAGAGAGAGAGAGAGAGAGAGACATCATGTGTCGTCTCTGGATATGCAGAATGAACACAACACCCCTGAAACTAGGTAACCCTGGAGGTAGGGGGCAGGGAGCAAATTTGAGGCTTAGATTGTTGACTTGGCCTCTTCCCAGGCAATGTCCCTGGAGCTCTGGTAAGAAATAAACAGCCCCTTCATGATTGCTCAGCTGCCTCAGTCCCTGCACAGGTGGCAGGGTGTGGCCTAAAAGGAAACGATAGTCTTATTCTGGTGGCGGTGTGCTTCATTCAGCACACGCACCACACATGCACATCTCTGCCTGCAAACACACATACAGGGTAAGGTCTTTCATTTCAGCCATTTTTCCGTTCTAAGAAGATCAATCTCAGCCAGAGCATTTTTTTTTTCTGACTTCACAGCTAAGTCTGGAGAAGTTGCTTGCCAGAGCCCAGAGGTGGTAAACAGGGCAGGGCTCAGCCTCCTTCTACAGCTTGGACAGCAGAACCAGTCCCTCAGCCCCTAGAGATTGCATCTCTTTGCCCAGCCCTCCACCCCTCTATTTTCTCAGTGTGAGGAATGCCTAATACAATTTTAAGGGAACTCACAGGTGCCTATCTCCCGTGCTGACTCTACCACTCTTCAACAAGCTGTGTGACCTTGAGCAAGCTGCTTAACCTCTCTGAGCCTCAGTTTCCTCATATGTAAAATGGTGATAATAATGCCTAACTCCCAGGTTGTTGTGGGAATTATAAGCACAGATGTATGTAAAGTGCCTGGCACAAGTAGGTGCTCAATAAAAGGTAACTATTACAATACTGTTTCTTGTTTCCTTGTTTATAAATGACAAGGATTTTTCCAGGTCCCAGCTCCCAGCCCAACTGGCTTCCTCTGGGCCTGCAGGTGACATCCTCTTCCCAAACCTCTGCACATAGCACCCATTGAGGTGTGAGTTTGTATTCCAAAGGACACTGTCCAGGAGAAAGGCAAGAGAAGAGATATCTGAAGATAGGATGTTGGGAGACAGGATTCCAGAGTCCCCACATGATGAGAAGTAAGTGGAATTAGCTTCCTTCTCCTTTTTGCCAAGAGCATGTATTAACCAGTACTCAGTGATGAGCCTCCCTGGACCCTGGTGCCCAGCCATGTGCTATGGAGTGACTGTAGACTCAGGCTGCGTCCTGGAAAGTTCCCTAAATGGCTGGAGAGCATGACTACAGCTTGACTGGCCCTCCAGCATTCTATGCAACCTGAAGCCAGTTTACCCAACCTCTCAAGCCTTCATCTTTAAAATGGAATTTCTAGGATTCATTGAAATGTGTCAGTAAAGCACTTATGCAAAAACTGGCAGAGTAAATGCTCAATGAATGGCAGCTCCTATCAATTCTTATATATATAAAAAAGGAACAAGCAAAGTTCTGCCTAGAACCTGTGCTGTCCAATATAGTAGCCAGTAGCCACATGTGACTTTTTAAAATATATATATTTTTATTGATTTCAGAGAAGAAGGGAGAGGGAAAGAGAGATAGAATCATTGATCGGCTGCCCCCTGCACGCCCCACACTGAAGATCAAGCTACAACCTGGGGATCGAGCCAGCAACCCAGGCATGTGCCCTGATCACGAACCCAAACCATGATGGCCTGGTTCACAGGTCGACGCTCCACCACCGAGCCACACGGGCCGGGCGCCACATGTGGCTTCTTACATTTAAATTAAGTAAAATTAAATATAATTTAAAAACCATTTCTTTGGACATACTAGCCATATGTCAAGCATTCAAAAGCCACATGTGACTAGTGGCTAACATATTGATTGGACAGTGCAGATTACAGAACATTCCCATAGTTGCAGAAAGTTCTGTTAGAGAGTCCAGGACCAAGCGGTGTGTGCTATCTGAGAGGGAATAGGAAGGAATAAAATAATTGGTAAGGCCTAAATAACCTGGCAGGGAGCAGGAGGAAGAGCCCTTTAGAAGGGCATTGAGAGCAGGCAGCAGTATTTTACAGCCTAGATGGGGGAGGGGCACAGCCAAAGGGAAGAGTGAGTGCCCTTGTGTGGCCAATTACTCGCGAACTGGCCCTTGGCTTTTGATCTGGTTTCTAGTCTGGCCTCTGCCATTGGCCTGATTATTCACAAAAGCACAAATGAACAAACTGAGGCACTAAGAGAAGAGGGCATTGGCCTGAAGTCACACAGGAGATTAGTAACCAACATTGATTGGAACCTGGTGTTCTGCATCCAGATACCTAGAACCTCCCATCCAGCATTCACCGTCCAACAGCATGGCTCAGCCCTGGCCTGTACACCTCCAAGGATGGGAAGCCAGCTGAAATGTGTGTGTGAAGCTGCCACCCAGTGGGCCTGGTTCTAGGCCAAGAAGTGTTTTCCCTTCCCTCGTTGACACCATAAAAGAGATTCAAGAAGTTGAGGTGGGGGTTGGAGCTGGAATGGCAGAAACTGTGAGAAAGAGCTGACTCTTGGGGACAGAATGAGGGGAGGGACCTAGGCTGGAAGCAACTGCTACCCCTATTTCACAGGATGCCAGGAACGCTGGCCCCTTCCAGCCTTGTCCAACCCCCCTCCCTGCCAGCACCTCTTGTGCATTCCAAATTTCTCTCTCTCTCTCTACACAGCTGGGTTGGGGTGGGGGCTGCCCCTCCTCCAGTGGAGATTTCAGCAGCCTTTTAATGGCCAGAATTCTTCATTGGTCTCCCTTTTACCCCTGGGCTGATGGGGAACAGGGCTGGGCTGATATGAAGAAACTAGTGGCCCAGTTCACAAAATTCAGGCACATTAAAAGGGGATTAATTAGAGGAAATATTTTAATATTGCTATTTGCTCTTTCTCTATAATAGAAGTGTCAGAGATAAAAGAAAATTAGTAAAATGTATATGAAAATCTTCCTCCTGTCAGAGTCTGGGGCACACCATGGGACCCAGAGTCAAGTCCCCGACCACCCACGTGTGCCTCGAAATCACGCGAGACCCAGACCCGGCTGGCCCCACCCCCGTTGGGCTAGATCCAGACCCAGCCAGTCCCACCCTTGTTAAGCCTCGCCAGGCGGGGTCGCAGCTCAGGTCCCCTGGCCCGGTGCTGGGCAGGGGGCATGGTCTGAGGTCCCCTGTCAAGCTCCACCGGGGGTGGTTGGGGGGGGCGCAGCCTCAGGTCCTTGCTGATTGCTCATTAAGGCTCGTTATGGGAACTCGGCCTCCACTGTGGGTGCAGCCATCTTGTGTTACGGAAACCCTCCCCCCCTGCCTCCGCTATGGGTGCCACCATCTTTGTGGTGGAGTGATGGTCAATTTACATATTCCCTCTTTATTATATAGGACTAGAGCAGTGATGGCGAACCTTTTGAGCTCGGCGTGTCAGCATTTTGAAAAACCCTAACTTAACTCTGGTGCCGTGTCACATATAGAAATTTTTTTATATTTGCAACCATAGTAAAACAAAGACTTATATTTTTGATATTTATTTTATATATTTAAATGCCATTTAACAAAGAAAAATCAACCAAAAAATAAGTTTGAGTGTCACCTCTGACACACGTGTCATAGGTTCGCCATCACTGGACTAGAGGCTCAGCCCTCGGGGGATGTCCGAATGACAGCTTAGCCCGACTTCTGGCTGAGTGGTGCTCCCCCTGTGGGAGCACACTGAGCACACTCCTGCGTTGAGCATCTGCCCCCTGGTGGTCAGTGCGCATCATAGCGACCAGTCCACTGGTCACTTGGTCACTTAGGCTTTTATATATATAGATGAGAACTCCCTTCTTCAGAGATAATGGAGAGGAACTGAGTGGCCACTGAAGGAAATCTAGGGCTGGGGCCTAATATCCTCATTCTGCGGCCTTATGCACTCTGAGAGTCTGACTCAGTGTCCCGTCCAACACCATATGAATCAGCTGAACTCTGGCTAAGCCCTTTCTCTGAGTCCAAGATGTGAATTTTCTGGAAGCGTCTTTGCCCTTGTTCCTCCAGATTTGGGTAAAGTATCTCTCACTGTAGCTAGCTCCAGAGCAAGTCTTCTGCTGGTTCCCCCCACTGAGCTTTCTGGTCCTTTTTCCCCTCCTAAGCCCACGGTCAATTTTGACCTCTCTATCCCCTGGTCACTACTCCACATCAGACCTTATCAATTCTAGCCTGGACCACTGCAGTGGCCTCGTAACTCTTTCTGCTCCGTGACCTTTCCACATAGTATCCAAAGAACTCTTCTTGAAATTTAGTTATGTCACATAGGAATTAAATCAAGATCTGAATCCTCCCCGCACCTGTTTCTGTTTTGCTCACACACACACATACCCATGAACATATTTTGAAAAGCATTTGAAGAAGCACTACCTTCTGTTTTTGGAATAGCTCCACAGCACATCCTAGCAAGGGGCAGCCTGCCTAGACCCAGCCTTGAAGAAAACCGCAGCGGCAACTGGGTGATTTCCTTTCTTTCTTTTTTTTTTTCAATTTCCTTTCCTGCCATTGTCTGACTTAGTGGGACTTCTGCTGACACCCTCCCTCCCCTCTCTGACACACCCCAGTTCCCAAGGACCAACCTGGTTTTTATCTTAAGGCTAGTCATTACTTCATCATACCCAACAATCTTTCCAGCAGCTTGAGCGGAGGGGAAAAATTCTTTTTTTTTTCAAAGTACTTCACCATTTTAATAGGGGAAAACAGAGGCTGATATCTGTTTTTGTTAATTGAGCTATAATTGACATAACATTGTATTAGTTGCAGGTATACAACATAAGATTCAATATTTGTGTATTACATTACTACAATAAGTCCAATTAACATTTGACAAGAAAGAACTTTTTTCTTGTATTAAGAACATCAAGATCCACTCTCCTCGCTACTTTCAAAAATGCAAGACAGTATTATTAACTATAGCCACCAGGGTGTGCATTACATCCCTAGGTCTTACTCATTTTATAACTGGAAGTTTGTACCTTTTGACCCCCTTCACCCATTAAGGGAGGGGAGAATTCTTGGCCTTATGTGGCAAGCCCTGACTTTGGCTGGGGTGAGGTTAGGGGAGGAATGGGAAGGAAGAGGGGGAGACCCTGTCCCTGGAGTTCCTGGTCTTAAGAACAGGAAGAGGTTGTGTCTCTGTATTTTGTATCCTTGTGCTGTTTTTCCCTCCCTAGCCCCCTTCCCCCTCCTCAGAGAGCCCAGTTGGGAATTTCCTATTACATAATTCTGAGTAGGAGGTAGAATGGGAGGGGGAGGGAAGCAAACGGTGGGTGGGGGGGCAAGTTGTGAGGAAGGGAGAGAGCAGGTCTCTCTAGGCACCTATAGCACAGCGTTAAGGTAGCCGCAGCCTGCTGGTGTGTCCCTCCTCTACGAAAGAAGGCAGGTTGGGCCACAAGCTGAACCCATGGAGATGTCAGCTTCTGCTTTCCAAACGTGGGGGACCTAGCTGGGGCCCCATACCCATAAAAACTGTACCATTACAACTACCATTACAACTTCATTCTTTTGGCTCTTCAAGTCAGCAAACAAGTGCCTACTGTGGGGGTGTAAGGTGTTGCTTTTGGGAGGCAAGAAGGCATTTTGGTTTTCCAGAGCCTCTGTTAAATCCCTCTGTTACAGGGGGAAACTTAAGACCACCCTAGTGGGGATAAGTCTATTAGATGCTTCTACACCCTGGGGTGGTGGAAGTGGCTTTGGGAACAACAGGTGGAGTTCCAAGGGGAGCCTCTTTGGGTGCAGGTGGGGAAACTAGGATGGTATTTATAGGGTTGGTGGTTATTAGGAAAAACTGCCAGAAGGAGGTGCTCTGGAGCTTGGAGGGCCTCAGATTGAAGGGGAAATTGTG